GTTAAAGGATTGTCAATTGGGAGGAGATCGATTTGGTTGACGAAGACTTGTACATGTGAATAAGACCTTTTGCTTGTATGTGTTTATTGATAGTGGGACATGTTTTAGGTTTCCTTTTTTGAACTATGTATTTTTGTAATCCAGGTCTTATGTCCATTGAACTGATGTACTACTTCAATATGTTTATGTAATGACATAAATCTTAGTTCTCCTTTTACCTAGCTCATGTGCTTGTGTTATAGTTTATTTACTTCATTGGTTAGCTTGAGTTGTCATTTTATAAAGCGTTGAGCCACTCCAACCTGAGTGGCGTTCGCGACCTCTGTGATCACGATCCTGCGTTTTGTCGCACCTCCAACAGTGTACGGTATGAGGTCAGAGGGCGGGGTCGTGACATTTAATCCCTGCTCTTTAATTTTATATTGTTTTTTACTAGAGATGCCCTTCACAATTCTATTATTACCATGATAGTCCACGTGATGATACAACTTATGGTCCTTATGATGAGATAACTGTTGAACCATTACATTATTATTAGTATCGTGATGGTCAAAAGAACCTTGAATCATCATTACATTATTATTAGTATCGTGATGGTCAAAAGAACCTTAAATCATCAGGATACTAATAGTATTTTGATGGTTGTTTTAGAATGTTGAACCATTACGATACCATTAGTACTCTTTTTTGGGTAAGTTAGTGGGGGAGAAGGCTTCATGTTTATTTTTATTTATTAATAAACAATAAGGAAGAGACAACTCATTAATTTATGGGCAAGCTTTTTATGCTTCCCCTACAACATAAAAGTTATATACTTCCCCTTATCCAACCGTCCATTTTGAATGGACGGTTAAGATTGCCCCAATCATAATGGTACGTCTCTACACTATTTTATTTTTAATTATTTTTGTACAAATTATTTTTACATCGAATGTCGTACGTCCAATCATCTATTAAACTTGCACTAGCAAAATATGTAAACAAATATTTCCAATAATATAAAATGATCAAAATACCACTAAAAGTTTCAACGGGTATTTTGGTTATTATATTTTATTGAAAATTTATTCTTTAGGTGTGCCCCAATGAGAAGCTAGCACGTACTAAATTTCATATTCATACAATTTGTATAAAAAAAACTAAAAATAAAATACTTTGAGACCTCGGATCTAATATCAAACGGTGAGTGACTCTCTTGATCAAAATTGGACTGCTGGAAGGTAGGGAAAGCATATATCTTTTATATTGTAGGGGAAGTATATAAACCTTTTATTTTTTTTATAACTCCATAATTGGGCAGTTACGCCGAACCATGAAATAAAAAGTATGGAAATAAAGTCTGACGATCAAGAGCACCAAATAGTTGCTATATAACTAAAAGAGGTTTTATTAACAAAAACATTGACTACCATATTGGCCTCACGATAAATGTGGGAATTTGATCATATGTGAGTAGAAAGTGTACTCTGACAATTAACTGCAATCATATGTAACCTCCATGGGGCATGACAATGATCATGAATGACATTTACCAATAATCATGAATGACATTTACCAATAAAGATGAATCGCTTTCAACTTGGAGAGGAAACCAATTTGTTTGGATAACTAGATTGAGACCTTCTTCAAGAACAATACTATTAGTACTTTGGTGGTTTACAAGAGCTATGCATTCAAACATCATGTTCCAATAGAATTGTGAAGGGTATTTTCTGTTAAAAAAAATTTATAAAGTTAAATAATAGATATGGACATAGATTTTAAATAATTTGGGTATTGCCAAATCTATTTTTTAAAAAAAAAGATACATGTGGTAATCATCTAATCCCCATGTATAGGATATGGGTTGTGGCCTACTCCAAATGTTCCTGACCATAAATATCTTACCCTGAAGTATCTCTTTTTGTATAGTCATATTTCATCTGAATGTCGCGTGTCTCAACCCTCGACCGCATTTTAACATACACCGAATGAATGATAAAAGAAAAAGAAAATGAATGTTGATATTTTGGAGGATTACAGCTTGAAGAACTACAACAAAACAATCTAAAGGATTATACAAAATGTCCTTTTGCTCCCTCATGTAATGTTTTTAGGACCGTGAGTATTATTTTATTTATTTTAGGACATAACAAATGAGTATTTATTTTTTATACAAATGGGATACAATTATTATTGAATGGTCGATTTAAAATCTTGTGGTTGAGAATGTGTCATCGTTATAGACATAAAATCCAATTTTTTTTTTATTAAATGTTATGACATGCTTTCATCTATTGGATTTCACGTCAAAGTTGTTGTGGTATTATTGTACAAAAATAAATCATCTCGTGATATACGATCCCTAAAAAAATATGGATGCAGGTCATATAAAAACATAGGCTTCATAGGGCAAAATATAGTTCTGACTTGTAAACCCCAACGAGGCCTCACAAATCTATTTCTACATTTATGGAATTTAACACTTAAAAAAAGTTACAAATATTGCGATTCTATAGACCCAAAAAACAATAGATAGTGTAGACAATGCATTACACGATACGCTATTTTAGGATTTGAAATCCTTGTCGTTTCTCATATCCACACTAGTAAAAATCGTATTAAAATGGATGATCTAGACAATGCCTTACAATTTATGCTATTTTAGGAATTGAAATCTTTGTTTTTTCTCATATCCACAATAGTAAAAATCGAGATGAATGAAATGAGGGCTTCTTTTCACACACGAGCCATAAATTTGGGCAAATTTTTAGGTGTAATTTATTTTAATTTATTTTCACGCGGCCCAATACTTATATTAACATTTTCTAAAAAATAATGATAGGATTGTATTGTCAAATCTATAGAAAGTCAAAATTATATTTTAGAAGCACTATATTTATAAAAATAAACCATTTATTTTTACAATAATGTCACAACCATTTTTGTCTATCAAATTGCAAATCAAATGGTTATAGATGCACTTATGACTAAACTCAAAGCTCAAAATTTATTTTATTGAATTTCATGACACACCACAAGTCATCCAATTCGACATTTAATGGTCATAATTAATTATGATTTCATTGAACTAAAGATAAATAGTTTTATAGTATTCAACCCCATTTCTTATTGGATGCCGTGTGTGTAGAGCCTAGCCTATAAATAATCAAATCATAACCTACCTTCAAATAGTATGGAGGCATGTGGTTTCAATATTGAAAATCTTTGTGATAGCTTTAAAATATATTTGTATATTTATTTATAAAGTTTAAAGCTTAAAAAACAGTGTAGATGGACAGATGTATGGAAACTTGAGAATCTTGAAATTTGACGGTAAAAAAATGTGTTACAAAATACACTATTTCCAAAACTTTAAATCTATTTTTTTCTCATGTCTGTGTTTCTTGATATTGAGATGATCAATTTGGAGATATTTGAACATCGAAACAACCTCTTCTAGTGAATTTATTGAGATTGGTTAAAATTTGATTGTTTAGAGCCTCGGCTCTATATAAACTTTTCCCGTTCTTATTACACTAGAAAACATTAATTTGTTTAAAACCCCAATGGTTATTGACCAAGATGGAAATCGACAGGGGCCAAACCAATTCTATGATAGTTTGGGTCCGACCTAGTTCCCTTTGAAACTCCACCTTTATTTACTTATGTGCTATTTTATTTTTTATTATTTTTAGATAAATAATATCATTTCACAATGTCATTATAATATAATGAAACCACACTTATAGAAAATCATATTTGTGATATTTGTATGACTCAAAATTTTGCACACACATGATATTTTCAGCTCATTAATCAATATCAATAAAATAAAGAATAAATTGCACAGTATATATGGTCAAAATGAGTCATCTCCAATAATGAATCCAAGACCATCAATTTGGTAAATTTCAAGATCTAGGCCTTTTTTAATTCAAAATCAAAATTTTATTGTTAACATTATTAATCTAATGATAACAAAGTTATCTAATTTTTTTTAAAAGAATAAAATATCATTCGAAAATCTAGTTCTAAGCATCTCACCAAAATGGACGGCTTATGTTAATTGATTTAGAAAATATATTTTTTAGATTATGTTTTCAAATTTTTATTTTTCGTGATTGTTCATTAGAATGAAAATGACGTATATTTTATAATTTGGTTCAAACAAATGGCCCTAACATGATTGTGAAATATTGTTTCATTATATTACTATATAACCCGAATCACTTTCCATTTTTTCAAGGGTGCGGTTTGTATAGAGCCTAGGCTCTAAACAATAAAATCTGAGCCTACCTTCAAATAATGTTGAGAAATGTGGTTTTACTATTGAAAATCTTTGTGATAGCCTTAAAATATATTTTCATAATTATTTATAAAGTTCAAAGATTAAAAAATAGTGTAGATCGACAGATCTATGAAAACTCGAAAATCATAAAAATTGACGGTCTAAAAATGCGTTACAAAATACACATTTTCCATAACTTGAAATCCATTTTTTTCTCATGTCCATGGATCTTGATATTGAGATGATAAATTTGAAAGTATTTGGGCATCAAACCACCTTTTCTAGTGAACATTTTGAGGTAGGCTCAAATTTGATTGTTTAGAGCCTCGGCTCTATATAAACTTTTATTTATTTTTTAAACATATATGATATCTTGTTAAGTCCCCTTAAATATCCATCCCATAAATCTCAATTTTGATTAATTTAATTTTATTAAATTTGATATTTTCTATATCACCAATTTGGTCTGATCCTGGCTACTTATCCAGGTTTCGAAACACTGCCTAAAAATGTTATTCCAATAGCAATTCTGAAAGTAATTCACCCAAAAAAGCAATTCTCAAAGTAAATCCAAGATCTTAAATAAGAACGTCCTCCAGAGCAGGCCTTATGCTTGAAGGATCAAGTGTACATTCTACTCCTAGAGGAGCACAATAAGTAAACATTACCAATAGTGTGGTATATTTGCAGACCTGCAGATGTATTTGAGCGTTCGCCCAAGATATTTGCAAACAACATTGAGGGTGTTTTAGTCATTCACCTAGAGAGAGGCCCGGTAATTCAAACTAAGAACCCTAAATTTTGGAGATTGCCTAGAACTAGAGGTTCTCGTTCCAGTTCGGAAGCAATCGTGGTAAGGTTTTTGCTTCTTCGTCATTTTTTACTTTGTTGAAATTAATCGGGGAATTTCCATTGATGCTCAAGTTTCAGAAGAAGAAGCTCTGCATATATAAAAACCCTAGAAATTTATTTTTTTCACCTGTCTGCCGCAAATTCTTTGCTTGCAAATTTTTTTTTTTTGTTGCGGGGAAAAACTGTCTTACATATGATATAGGGTTTAAGTTTCTCCATAGTGGAGAAGCTTGAAATTCTTATTTTTTTACTGTGCCATAAAGTGATTGCTTTATTCCAAAGATATATTCCATGTTTTGATCTATTTGGATTTACAGACAAGAATTCCGAGTCTATTAAGATTTAAGATTCAAGAGCTATGGCTCTTCAACAGTGAAAACATCTGATTAAGGGAAGATACTCGGTTCATATAGATAAGATTTCTCTATAATCAAGAGCTTGTGGTTCCTAAACAGCGCATTGGAAACTTCAGGCCCATGATATCTAGGATTTTTTCTGGGGTCAAGTGACTGCAATTCGCTAATTCTGCACCTGAAAAATTCGGCTTGACGAACACCTGTAAATCGAGGGTTTGTTTTTTCTGGGGTCAGGAAACTCTGGCTCGTTAACAGTAAAGTCATTATTATCAGTCGACTGGTCAAGGATTTTTTGAGAATGGGGAAATATAAGATAAACAGGAAATACGAAGAAATGGGGGTTGAGGAGCAAAATATTAAGACTGTTATAAGTTTGGATAGCAGTGATGATGAGGCCAATGCTGATTTGAGCCTTGAGGTTTTGAAGAAAGCAAAGGAGCGCATGGACGAGAAGAAAAAAGAGGAGAAATCCGTGTTTGAAGAAGAGGAAGGTCCTATTGTTGTGATATCTTCTTCAGATGACGCCGAAGTTAAGAGTGCCATTACTGAAGAAATAACAGTGGAGAAGAAAAAGAAGAAGAAGAAGAAGAAGAAGAAAAAGAGTAAGAAGAGTGAAAACGTCGATCAAGTAAGTCATCTTATTGTTGTATTTTTATCTTTTTATTTAATATTTAATGAGGATTATCAACTGCATATTGCATGCACGTAGTGCTCTGAGATTCTTCCTTGGAAACACCTCTTCGAGTTTATTTTCACCTTAAATAAAAAAGTTCATGGACATTAATCTTGGGCATAGAGTTGGTTTTTATTTGTGAAGTCAAAGATCAGCAGCGAATATCACTTGATATTTAGATTAGTTGAGATGTTATACCCATATTCTCATAAATTTCAAAGTTGAGTTAGATTTGCTACACTAGATTAATAAGTTGCATGTATTCGGTATTCCCATCAACGCTGCAGTGATCAGATGATGTACTATCAACTGTCTTTTTAATGTGCTATGACTCTCCATATATCCCTTTTTTTAAAAATTTTAAACATGTTGATAGCGTATGGTAGGTGCAAATGGAACTCACTAAGTCACACTGTTGCTCCGCCACCCTGACCAGGACTATTTTCTCTGTTCAAACTTAAAGCATATTAATTTGACAGAAAATATCACATTTTGTATTGCCAATAAATCCATATCCGAACAATTATGTGTAGACAAGAGTTCCCTTATAGTATTTGCCAAAGACAAAACCTGGATGATTTCTTTAAAATGAGTGTCAATTATGAAGCAGCATAGCTTAATATTGAAACCGACTTTGGTGGCAATGAGTTATATCTTATTACATAACACAGATCTGTTCCTTATTTTAATGCAGGTTGATCTTTTAGGTGCCAATGACCCTCGAGAAATGCAGGAGCACATGGATAGTGAAACAGTTGGAGCAGGAGACGATATTGTTCTGACAAAGATTTCGGTGAGTAAACATCATACACACAGACAGATGCTTTAGCTTTTCTTTCTTTTTTTTTGTCCTTTTGTTTTTGATAATTTTGTACTAGTTGGCTTCATGATTTTATTGGTCATTCCCTTAATGCAGGTTAATGATGAAAATGCAGAGAAGTCTCCACAAATGCAGGAGGTTACAGAAGCAAAAGGCGAACCAGACAACATTGTTCTTAGAAAGCTTCTGGTGAGTAAAATAATACAGCTATTCTACAAACACCATGCTGTGATACAAAAGAATGAACAATAAGAACAGTATAAAAAAAGAAATAAAAGAAATAAAATATCATATGATCGTTTTCATTTTTATTTATGTATTCATATATGTTCTTATTTCTGTTTTCGTGTTATGTTGTTTTTTGTTTTCAGCGTGGGCCTCGTTATTTTGATCCACCAGATGAGTTATTGGCCGCATGTTATAATTGTGGTGAGGTGGGCCATGTGGCAGTGAACTGTACCTCAGAAAGACGAAAAAAGCCATGTTTTGTATGTGGAGAATTCGGCCATAAAGGAAAATCTTGCATACAGGTAGACAATAAACATCAAATGGTCTATTTGTTGAGCATCTTTAATCATCACACACACTCGCCCTAGGCCCCCCAAACTGTTTTTTTTTTTGGTTGGTCTTTAGCAGTGTTTGTAAAATCAAACCAGAACGGTTAACCGGACATGGCACTAGAAGCAGTTTAACCGGCCTAACCTGTAAACCGGCCGATTCAACCGTTCTAACAGGGCATGTCCCGAGCGGTCAAAAAATTGTTGAAAAAAAATAAAAAAATACAAAAAGATCTATTAAAATATGAAAAACATATAAAGAATGGTTAAAACAAAACACATTCAAATGTTAGTTGAAAATTAATGAAAAAAATGGATTTAAATAATCGGTTTGTTCCTAGGGCTATTTTTATTTTATTTTGAAAAAGATGGGAAAAATATAAAAGTGAATATAGTGACCAAAACAATTTCTAATCTTTTGTAAAGAATAATAAAAAAATGTATTACAAACCAAATTCCTTATTTTTTGAATTTTATATACATTTTTTTGATTTTCTTTTTTAAAAAATACCGGTTGATCACCAAAATTGCCCGAAACCGGAACCGGCTCTGCCACTGGCCGGTTCCAATCTAACCGGGTGGTTACCGGTTAGATCGCCCACTTTTTCCAACATGGGTCCTTAGAGATGGCATACTGATTCCAGTTACTGATTTTTTCCCATATCTTTACAATCAGGGGTTTGAATGTTATATTTGCAAAAGAAGAGGTCATCAGGCAAAAAACTGCCCAGAGAAGCACAGCAGGAATGCACAAAAGTCCAAAATCTGCTTGCGTTGTGGGGATTCAGGGCATGAGATGTCTTACTGCACCAATGACTATGCATCTGAAGATTTAAAGGTTTAATTATGGGAAGAGTGGAAGTATACTATGTTTGGTCATGATAATGTTATGGGGACGAGGGTTATATAATTGTCCCATCAATGGTTGGATAGTGATAAAGGGGAGGGGGTGTACAATTTAACTCACTATACCTCCATCACCATCCAACCTATTGATGGGACGGTGTAACGCTCATCCTGCTATCATGATCATAATACTTTCCTTTAACTATTAAATATTGCTTTCTGGCTTTCTTCTATATACTGTTTTATGGTATGCCACACAATGAATCATGTGAGATATTTCTCATGAGTCAGTACCCTTACTGAATGAACTTTTATGTTTATATTGAAGGAGATACAATGCTATATTTGCAAGCAATTTGGCCATCTGTGCTGTGTTGATATAGTAGATACTGGTCCAAGAGTGATTTCTTGTTACAATTGTGGGCAGAAGGGCCATACTGGTCAAGTAAGTGCATTTTGCCTTCCCCTAATAGAAAGGGATATACACAATTTATGTGGATGTCACATTGTGTGTTTAGTCTTGAGAGGACTAGTGGATACGCATTATGTAGGGTTGTGCCAAGCCCCGGTGGGAGAAGAATGTTGATGCACCACCAACTATATGTTTCAGATGCGGTGAAGAAGGGCATTTTGCTCGAGGATGCACAAAATATAGGAAGGTTTGTTGAAAATTCGTAGTGATTCATGTGTGTATGTAGAATTATAATAATTTTGCCGTCCTCTCTTTTTAATGGTGAAGCTGCTAATTGTGAAACTTGGTATAGAGGGATCGGTGGATGGGCGAACCCTCAACCCCTACTCAAGGAGTTTTAGATGGAGATGGTGATTTCGCAGGATTCAGATCTTTGCCTAATGATTTCTATAGAGAACATAAGAAGGCGAAAACACGTATTGAAGGTAGAGAAACAATGACTACTGGGAAGTCCAGGGGAAGAAAATCTTGGATTCCCAATGATGAGGGTTCACCTTTTAAGAAACATCGAGCAAAAAGAGGGGTGAGTTCCAATACACCTCGTGTACCAAATGACCCGACCTCCTCAACGCCATATCAAGCTAATGGCCTGATGCAAAATCGAGCTAATGGCTTGGCATCGCCCTCGACACCGTATCAAGGTTATGATCGGACGCCCTATGGTAATGGCCCTGGTTCAAGGTCATGGTCTCCCAAGATGAAGAATGGGTCCTCATCAAGTAACTCAAACTTCTCAAAGAAGTGGGGATTTAAAAGAGAAAAGAGGAACCTAAATAATGAGTAAGGAACAATTCTTGTATTTCAGGGGGCGCCACTTTCGGAAGAGAGCATGGCCCCGGGTTTTGTTCCTGAATTCTGATAATTGTAACATGGTAATCCTCTCTCTGTTTCTCTATCTCCATGTAGCATTCCAACGAGTCTTACATGCAAAATTCTAATCAAGTGGAGTCTCCGAATGCAGAAACTGGCCACAATCACTGATGAGCAAGCGATGAAGAATCGCTGTGGGCGATCGGATATATGAGCATGAATATTGCCCTAAATTTCTTAGTTGATTTATTTATTTTAAACTGTGGCGTATCTGAGGAATAGAATGGCCATACTGAAGCTGTAAATAAATATTGCTTCATCTAAGTTAAAAACGCAAAATTTTTACAGCTTCATCTAAGTTAAAAACTCGAAATTGTTTTGCTCATGCTGGAAGAGAATGGAAAATGGATTCTGTTTCAGGAACTGCTTGGAGAAGATAAGGAAAACTAAACAACTTGTTTTGATGAATAGGAGAGTATAGTTTGTCATGAGCAGCAAAGAAGATTTGAATTTCGTTGGAGTAATTTTGCAAGCATTCGCTTTGAGGTTATAACTTCAACTAAGAATTGATTTAAATTTGAAAATTAAACATCGGTCAAATTCCAGGTGAAAGAATTGCATGGTTCAAATTGCTTCCCCTGGAAGTGAACCGTTGCTTTTATAATGGTGGAACATTGCGATGTGCCTTCTTTTTTTTTTTTGGTTCAAGTTAGTGGGGGAGAAGCCCCCTTACCCGTTTTCATTGATAGGAATGGAGGAAATACAAATCATATTTTTACAATCCTATAATAGGACATTTGTGCAAAGCCAGTCTTCTTCAACATGAGTGAGGAGTCCACAGTTTGGTATAACACGAGTGAGGAGTGCACAGTTTGGTATATTGCGATTCACGACATTAGGGAATGGAACATCGCTTATGCTGGAAACACTGAAATAGGCTATGTTTTGAACATATGAATGAATCATAGAAACTTTTATTGCTGTTGTACCCAGGATCATGTCACACTGTTATTGTAAAAAGATTGCCTTATTTTTGGGGTGTGGTTTGTATTAGTCACCAATCTTAAATAGTCAAAACAAGGCATGCCTCTAAATCTTGCTGAATAATGCAGTTCAAATGTAGAAATGCCTAATAATTTATTCTCATATTTAATTGTGGAATTTAAATATGAAAAAAGTGTAAATTGAACATATCTACGAAGATTTACAAATTTTCAAAATAGAAAGTGATGTGCTTTACTTTAAGGGTGCGGTTTGTATTGAACCGAGGTTCTAAACAATCAAAGTAGAGTACACGTTCAAATAGTATCGAGAAATGCGGTTTTAATACTGAAAATATTTGTGATAATCTTAAAATATATTAATTGTAAATTTATAGCTTAAAGAGTAGTGTAGAACGAGTAGATCAATGAAAATTTGAAAATCTTGAAAATTGATGATCCAAAAATACAATGCAAGATGCACAATTTTCAAAACTTGAAATCTATTTTTTTCCATGCCCATGCATGTTGATGTCAAGATGATCGGTTTGAAGATATTTGGGCATAAGAAAAACCTCTTCTAGTGAAATTTTTTAGGTGGGCTCTAATTTGATTGTTTTAAGCCTCGGCTCTATATAAACTTTTTCCTAACTTTAAAGGCTTGAAATCTTTTTTTTCCCATCTCAATACATCTTGGGGTTAAGATATCAAAGCATATGACTTTCTAAGGTCAGAACAACCTTTTCGGCTGGATTTTTGAAGTTTACTTTACTCCTCTTTACTCATCAAAGGTAAGGTCAATATTTTTTTAAATTATTTGCTTTTCACAATTGTGCAACTAAAGATTGGCTTAGACATGGCTACCAATCTTCCAATTGTGGCATGAGTTGGTACCTTGTATTATTTCAGGAGTGAAGACTGTATTTTCGCAAGAAGAAACAACATTTTAGAATGACTCGATAATTTTGAATGCCATCCTCTAAATGTACCTGTACCCTCTCTCTCTCTCTCTCTCTGACCTTTCACTCTGTGCTCTAAGGGAATGCAGTCACTGATTTTACAAATAAAGCAAATTACAACACTTCAAAAAAAAAGATTGCAATGAACTGGGAAATCAAACTGGTTTGTATTTTACCGGTTACTCATACAGTATAACAATCTGGCTGAAACTCCTTTTGTTAAGTGTTTCTCTCAAGCCAAAATTCAGTACAATTTGGTTAGTATCGTGCTGCATCCGCCGCTCAACTATGTAGGGGGTGCAACATGGCCACAAACCCATAGTTCACAAGCCTCTCATGTTAATGCTATGCGCTGCTATTCCTGCACGAAGTGTAATAAAATTACAAGGATATTAAGAACCAAAAGAAAAAGAAAAAGCTTGTTGGAGGTTTGCTGGTTATCTTGATTATATATGAGTTGTGCTCTACAAGACTTCGGCTCAGGCCAGTTTCCCTCGGTAGACCAGGATTCATATATCACTTTTATATTAGGCCAGTTTCCCTCGGGGTCTCTCTCTCTAGCATCACACACACAAACACTGTGAGACCAATTATCAATGTTACAAAGAGGTCACAATCATTCATAGCCACTAGATATCAAATTGGATGGCTTGAGGTTCGAGAATTTTTTTTTTGAACATTGTATATAATCAATGACACATTTACAACCACCCGATTTAAAATCTGAATGATATGGGTTGTGCCCTCGTTATACTAAAAGTAAATGGTGTGTTTATATATATATATGAAAAAGCTGGGATTAATCCACTAGCTCATATGAATATATGAGCTCAACGGCCCAGATTGAATCTAAACTAATCTAACGATCACAGATGTTCGGTAGTGTTTGAATTTTAATTTTTTTTTCTACATATCCAAATCACTTTAAATTTTAGGAGCATATTCATAAAAAATAGTTGAATCTTCAAAAAATATTTTACATGAAATAAATTGACCAAAATACCTTCGAAAAGTTTTGGAGGTATTTTGGTTATTT